GTTTGGAAACAGCCAGCCCCAAGGTACAGCTTTTATACCTCCCCCTGATGACTACTGGTCAATTCTTTTTAAAATACAGAAATGAGCTGGGCACTGGTAGTTCAGGCTTATCATCTTAGTTACTTAGGAAACTGAGAGCTGAAGATCATAGTTCAAACCCAGCCCAGGCAGGAAAACCTGTGAAACTCTTATTTTTTTTTTTTTTGGTCCAGTCGTGGGGCTTGAACTCTGGGCCTGAGCGCTGTCCCTCAGCTCTTCGGCTCAAGGCTAGCGCTCTACCACTTGAGCCACAGCGCCACTTCCGGCTTTTTTCTCTTTGCTTATGTGGTGCTGAGGAATCGAACCCAGGGCCTCGAGCATGCAAGGCAAGCGCTCTACCACTGAGCCACCTTCCCAGCCCCTGTGAAACTCTTATTAACTACCCTAAAAAAAAAAAAAACGAAGTGGAGCTGTGGCTCCAGTGGTAGAACATCAGCCATTAGTGATAAAAGCTCAAGGGTTAGCAGTCCAGGCCTTGAGTTCAAGCTCCAAGACCAACACACACACACACACACACAAATATAAAAATATAAAAAAAAATACAGAAATTAATCTTAAGTGATCCTCTTCTATGTTCCTGTCAACATTTTTAAAACAACAATAACAACTTGATGACTTTACACATGAAAGACATAAAACAGCTTTGTGGAGCAGAAGATTCTTTGAAAGCTCCGGGTAGAAGAAAGCCCTTGCTTAGAGAACTTAATTGATAGAAGCAAGCAGCTTGGACAGGGCTGCCTGAGTTCAAAGGCACCGCTTTTAATTCCAAACCATTTTAATTTTGCTTAACTTTTATTTCTTTCTGGGTGACTAAACTGCAAAGTTCTATTAATCTACTGCCAAGTCATTTTTTTTTTTTCTTAAGAAGGTGGATACATTACAAGATCCACAGCTAGGAGACCGCTCTCAGGAATGCTGTGGTAGTTTTGTAGAGATAAAAACAGGCTCAGGGAAAGTAAGCTGTTCTGTTTTCTGTGGGGAACAGATTTTTGTCTCTGGCAAATGACAGAAAACAATCAGGGATTAGTCTTCATGGAAGTTTGGAAATGCAACGCCTCTGGCAACATGATCCTGTGGAGCGAAGCCTCATGTTTTAGTAGTTGGAATTTTGTGTTAGTACAACAGCCAAGATGTCAACGGTTGTGAGGAGTCATCCAAGTCACACACACATGCAGCTGGAAAGGAAGCACAGCTTCAGGAGACTAAGTGTGATCCTGGGCGGTGAATGGGAAGAAGGCAGACATGGCTACTGCCTCCAGGAAACACGGACTGCTTAGAAGAGCAGTGTAGCAGAATTGTTCTTCCTTTCCTTGCTAATACAAGAGACTTGAAACATTGCTTTCCGAATTTTACATAATGTGATTTAAAAAATTGTTTTGTTGTTGTTTCTTTTTTTTTTTTTTTTGGACCATTTAAGCATTAAAGAATTTATAGACGTGCCCAGGTGACAGTGGCTTATGCCTGGAATCTTAGCTACTCAGGAGGCTGAAATCTGAGGATCGTGGAAAGTCTGAGAGACTCTGATCTCCAATAACCACCCAAAAGCCAGAAGCAGAGATGTGGCTCAAATAGTATCGCTGGCCCTTAGCCAAAGAGCTAAGGGATAGTGCCCAGGCCCTGAGTTCAACCCTTATACTGGCAACAACAACAACAACAAAAACTGATCAGCTGAACTAGGGGTATAAGATCAGCAGTAAAGTGCTTGCCTGGCATACATAAGTTCCTGGGTTTGAACCCCACTTCTACAAGCAAGCAAAATTGCTTCTTTCTTGGGGAAAAACATTGCCAGGTCTGATAATGGTGACAGATGTAATTTCTTAAAACCATCAGAAGTTGAAATGGGCTGGCTTTGGTTGGTCTATCTTCATAAAATGAATGGCCAGAATCATGACATACCATGATGATTTGACCATCCTAATGATTAACACAAATCAATACTGTGGCTAGGTTTTCCTTGACATTTATTCTCTGGTGTGTATATATGGAAATGGATTCATTGAAGTAATTATTCTGTCTCCTTTTGATGATTCCGAGTCTTCTAAAATCTTACTCATAACTACTTACTGGTATTGTTCTTGTCATTATTTATTCTGATGGACTAGAGTACTAGTTTTAATTGACTTTGACAGGGCTGTCCAGAAGCATTAAGAAAGAACATATTATATCGTTCAGTGTTGGACAGTCATTGTTTGGTGCACAATCCTTTAAGAGTGGCATTGTCAAATGTGAGATGGATGGGAAATCACCAGGCAAGCAAATTCTTTAAATGGGGTGATTATGAGCCACCAGAGGAACTGTCCCATGGCTCACCTGTTAGGAAGGCAAGTTTCCAAACCCTGGAAAATAACAAGTGTGGAAGAGGATGTAGAGCAATTGTAAGCCTTGTGTGCTGTTGGTAGGAATGCAAATGATATAGCTGAGATGGAAAGCAATGTGATAGCTCCTTAAAAAAAAAAAAAGATCACTAAATCAGGCACATGTAATCCTAACTACTCAGGAGGCTAAGATGTGAGGAGCATGGTTCAAAACCAGCTTGGACAAAATAGTCTGTGAGATTCTTATCTCCAACTAACCACCAAAAAATCCAGAAGTGGAGATTGTGGCTCAAGTGGTAGAATGTCAGCCTGGAATGTAAAAGCTAAGGAAGTGCTTTAGACCCTAAGTTCAAGCCCCAGTATTGTCACACAAAAAAAGAAAATGTGGTGGTGATGCTTGCATGTGAGATGCAAATGTATTTTAGGCCACTGAACTATATATTTCAGAATGGCAAAAGTGGTAAAGTGTATATTTTATCACAATAATATTAATATATTAAACTAGTAAGTAGCAACAAAAACAACCACAGAAACCACAGTGGAGAAATGAAATCATGATACCATTATCCATGGACTTTGATTGCTTCCTACCTGTTCTAGAGGTCAATGAAGTTCTGTTTTTTTTTTTTTTTTTTTTTTTATGTTTTTCTCAGTTGTGGGGCCTGAACTCTGAGTCTGGGCACTGTCCCTCAGCTCTTCAGCTCAAGGTTAGCGCTCTACCACTTGAGCCACAGCACCACTTCCCGTTTTCTGGTGGTTTATTAGCGATAAGAGTCTCATGGACTTTCTTCCCCAGGCTGGCTTTGGACTGTGATCCTCAGATCTCAGCCTCTTGAGTAGCTAGGAGTACATGTGTGAGCCACCGGTGTCCGGCCAATGAATTTTTTTGTGTTTAAAATTACATCAGGGGGCTGGGAAGGTGGTCAGTGGTAAAGCACTTGCCTTGCATGCAAAAGGCCCTGGGTTCGATTCCTCAGCACCACATAAGCAAAAAGAAAAAAGCCGGAAGTGGCACTGTGGCTCAAGTGGTAGAGCATTAGCCTTGAGCTGAAGAGCTGAGGGACAGCGCCCAGGCCCAGAGTTCAGGCCCCACGACTGGACCCCACCCCCAAAAAAAAATTACATCGGGGGCTTGGGTAGGTGGCTTAGTGGCAGAGTGCTTGTCTTGCATGCATGAGGCCCCTGGGTTTGATTCCTCAGTACCACATAAGCAGAAAAAGCCAGAAGTGGCATTGTGGCTCAAGTGGTAGAATGCTAGCCTTGAGCTGAAGAGCTGAGGGAGAGCGCCCAGGCCCCAAAGTTTAGGCCCCATGACAAAAAAAAAAAAAAAAAAATTACATAAGGTCCTTACCTTCACTGCAGCAGTCATGGAGAAAAGCACAGAGCTTTGCTTGAGAAACACTGATGCCATGTTTACCCATGCAAAATACCCAGGTGGAACCTGTTAGTTAATGTTGTCTTTTGTTACCTTGGAAGGAAAATTAAAGGCACGGGGAGGAGGGGGGCCAGTGTCAGAGAACTCTAGAACCATAAGCTGCACTGCACCAAAAAGAGTATGAACCAGATTGCAACAGGGACCTACAGAACTAAGAGGCACATTCTTGCAATCTTTCCAAAAGAGTTTTCATTTGAGTGGGAGCCTAATGAGACTTTGGTTTGCTTTCAGGAAGTCTCACTTGATAAGAACTACCCTGGCAGGAAAATGCAGGATTTATGATAGTCTTGGTCCAGGCCAGGCTGTGGTTTTCTCCAAATTTCTAAGCAAATTACACAGACTAAGATATAATTGAATTGTTTCCTTACCCGTCATCAGCCTTAATTTCAGGACTTAAGTCATGCCAGATTTGGAGAAGTGGGACACTGGATATTAATTATACTGACTTTGGTTAGCTCTGTACTTTATCCCACACATGAAACAGCTCAAAATATGCTTTGATATTCCATATGGAACAAAAAATAAGAATTGTGCAGTCATTCTATTAGATGCATAGTGATCAAAATGCTTGAATCAAGGATCTCCGTCAAGCATACAGTCAGAGAAGAAGGAAATTTTGCTTCAAGTTCTGCACAATTAGGTCAAACTGGAGTTTGAATTCAGAGCCTTCAGCTTGTTAGGCCTGCACTCTACCACAAGAGCCACATTTGCAATGATTTTTTTTTTCCTGCTGGTTATTTTTGAGATAAGGTCTTGCTTCCTGCTGGGCTTGGGCCTGTACTATGACCCTCTATTTTTAAACTTCTGGTTGTAGCTAGTTAACAGATGCATGAGACCATACCCAGCTATGAGTTTAGAAGAGGGTCTCCCAAACTTTTTTTTTCCTCAGGCTGGCACCAAACTGTAAACATACCAATCTCAGCCTCCCAAGTAGCTGGGATTGTAGGTGTGAGTCAACAGTACTCACCTTCAAGAAATATCTTTGAGGCATTTTAGCACACTCCTAAAATTCCTGCAACTTGGGAGGCAGAGACAGGATGAGTGTGAGTTCAAAATCAGCCAAAGCAAAATTAGCAAGACTCAGTCTCAAAAACCGAATACAAACCAAAGGGCAGGGGTTTGGCTCATGTGATCAGCACTTGCCTAGCATGTGTAAGACCACCAAAGGAAAATATCCTTGAATTACATCTCTCTTTTTCTATTCTCCCAAGCTTCCGCAGGTTTACTCGATCTAACAGTGTGACCACAGCGGTACAGGCTGACCTGGACTTCCACGATAATCTGGAAAATTCTCTGGAATCTATAGAGGACAATTCATGTCCTGGTCCAATGGCCAGACAGTTCTCCCGGGATGCCAGTACTTCCACTGTTAGCATTCAGGGCTCAGGAAACCATTACCACGCCTGTGCTGCCGATGATGACTTTGACACAGATTTTGACCCCTCCATCCTGCCTCCTCCGGACCCTTGGATTGACTCTATCACAGAAGACCCCCTGGAGGCCGTGCAAAGGTCTGTGTGCCACCGGGATGGCCATTGGTTTCTGAAGCTTCTCCAGGCAGAGCGAGACCGTATGGAAGGGTGGTGCCAGCAGATGGAGAGAGAAGAACGGGAAAACAACTTACCGGAAGACAGTAAGTAATGCCCATCTGGATCCCCCAGGGCTTAGGTCACCATTCCTTTGAATTTGTTGGCTTGTTGTTTTCCTTTCCTGCCAGCTTCTCTTTCAGTTTCCCACCCCCAAACCACAGCGTGGGGAAGAGGTAGGCCATTCCAGTCGAGTGACCAGAAACTTCTGGGCTGCACACTAGAAAGGCACTGGGTAGATATCACACGTTCTAGTTCAAGATCTGGGCGCTCCATGTGGGAATGGACTCATTCTCTGCTGTTTCCCCTTCCCCAACATGATCTTGAAACACTACTGATTCTCAGAGGATTGAAAATAATTCTTCTTATTTTCAAGGTCTATAGTTACGTATGTGCATGGAATATTATAAGCTTTACCGTTTTATTATTCTTATTCATATACTATATATAATTTTATTTTATTTTTCATTTTTTTATTTTGTTTTTTTCATTGTGGGCCTTGAACGCAGGGCCTAGTTGCTGTTCCTGAGCACTTTTACTCAAGACTAGTATTCCACAACTTGGAGCCACAGCCCTACTTCCAGTTTTTGAGTGGTTAATTGGACATAAGAATCTCACAGGGACTTTTCTGTCTTGCTCTGAACTGTGATTCTCAGATATTAGCCTCCTGAGCAACTAGGATTACAGGTGTGAGCCAGCGATGCCCAGCTGTCCTTGAGTTTTTGTGTTCAGGGCTAGTACATTATTTGAGCCACAGTTCCATATCCAGATTTTTGGTGGTTAATTGGAGATAAGAGCCTCAGGGACCTTCCTACATGGGGTTAGTTTTAAAGCAGATTCTCAGATCTCAGCTTCTTGAGTCTCATGGACTTTCCTACTCAGGAAAAGTCCAAGATCTTCAGATCGTAGCATCTTGAGTAGCTAGGATTACAGGCGTGAGACAATGGTGCTTGGCTCATTTGTGGCATTTTTTTTTTTTTTTTTTTTTTTGGTCGGTCGTGGGGCTTGAACTCTGGGCCTGGGCGCTGTCCTTCAGCTCTTCAGCTCAAGGCGAGCGCTCTACCACTTGAGCTACAGCACCACTTCCGGTTTTCTGGTGGTTTATTGGAGATAGGAGTCTCACGGTCTCTCCTGCCCGGGCTGGCTTTGAACCGCGATCCTCAGATCTCAGCCTCCTGAGTAGCTAGGATTACAGGCGTGAGCCACCAGTGCCCGGCTAATTTGTGGCATTTTTAAGTTAATTTAGTTTGCATTTTGTATTAGGGATGCAAACTTTCGATCACTAAAATAATTAAAACCAATCTCAATTTAATGGGTTAAAACAAATGCTGAGTAGATAAATAATAGGCACTGTGTTTCGTTCACCATTATGTGTAATAATTGTGTAATAATGTTGGCCTTTTAACAATTCCTGTAATTAAAAGAAAATTATAACCAATCTATTTTTTTGCAGCTCTTCATGGGCCTTCTCTAAAGTCCTAGAATTAAGCAACAGTCTAGACCAAAAGTTGTTCAGAATGCTCTGCTCTGTCACATAAGCATGTTCAGATTGTGAATGGAGAACAGGAAGTGACCTACAGGTAAAGGAAGTGAGGTAGAAAGTCAGGTTGATTGGTTACAGCTTGTATTTGTCTTCTTTGAATGAGGTTTGAACAGTAGACTGCTTTGGATTGGTTGAGACTCTGCTACTTGTTACACAGACATTACAATCTGTTAGTGCATCAACTGGGGTTATAATTCACTGAGAAGAGACAAACCTGTAGGTGAAACTTAAACATATGTATGGAGGCAGCTTTAGGCCAAACATACTTCAGTGTAAAATTGACATAGGAAATTTACTAGATTATCTCAGTTTTGAAGCAGATTTGACACATCTTCAATAATTCTAATATAGGTTATGTATATTTTAATGTTATATGTTAATTTTCCTGTGAAAACTATTATGAAATTAACAGTGGATCCTCCAATTTATATTTTTGAATCAAATTCAGTGGTAGGCATAAACCTACTTTAATTTTGTATAGGAACTATCTAGAAAAGGATCCTCATGATGTAGCTTTTTAGAGATTCTCTTTTCTTTTTGCTTTTATTTTCGTGTGTGTGTGTGTGTGTGTGTGTGTGTGTGGTGTGCACGTGCCCGTGTGTGCACGTGCCCGTGTGTGCACGTGTTGCAGTAGTGGGACTTGAACGCAGGGCCTTAGCTTTTTTCACTAAAGGCTAGCACTCTGCCAATTGAACCACACTTCCACTTCAGGTGTGGAGGTAAGGATCTCACAGACTCTCCTTTTCTGAACCAGCTTCAGATCTCAAGCCTTCCGAGTACCTAGGATTATAGGTATGAGCCATTGACATCTAGCTGACTTGTTTTTTGAAAAATAACTTTTTGTCATAAACCCGGCTACAACAAGCATAAAAGCGATTTGTGTGTGTGTGTGTGTGTGTGTGTGTGTGTGCACGCGCCCACATACACCTGCTAAAATAGGGGCTTGAACTCAGGGCCTAGGCACTGTCTTTTAGCTTTTTTCCTTAAGGCTGACACTTTACCGCTTGCACCAGAGCTCCACTTCTGGCTTCTTGCTAGTTAACTGGAGATGAGTCTCACAAACTTGCTTGTCCAATCTTTGAATTGTGATCCTCAGAACTTAGCCTCTTGAGTAGCTAGGATCACTGGCAGGAGCCACTAATGAAGTTTAATATAGCCATGCACTAAATGCACCAAACCAGCTGTGTGAAGAAGTAGTTCATTTTTCTGTAAAAGAATTACATTGTATGAAAAGAGCGTCTGGAAGATAGCAGTTATCAGGTCATGGGTGTGATGTCCTTGCTAAGCCTGCACTCTCCTAGCTCCTCCTACTTTTTCCTCCTGCTTGAGCCCTATTGCCTCACTTATTTCTTGCAAGTTAGACAATTCATAAGTCGATTTCTGTAAACTTCCCTTGCTCTTCTATGAGTACAAACAACTTGACCATGGGAAAAATATACATCCTTGACATTTGTTCCTAACTCTTAGTACCATGCAGACTCACCTAAGCCTAGATCCAAAGCCTGAGTGGTGATCTTCAGGCACAATTACCCTTTGTTTCCTAGTGACAGGTAAAAGAAGCATTGCTCAGAAGCTCTAAGTGGGGACTGGGCAGTTTTCAGTAGGTAAGCAAATAGTTGCAGGTACTAGGGCTTGAACTCAGGGCCTAGATGATGTCTCTAAGCTTTTTTGCTCACGGTGAAAGCTCTACCATTGGAGCCACAGCTCTGTTTCTGGCTTTTTTGCTAGTTAAACGGAGATAAGCGTCTCATGGACTTTTCCTGCTTGGGCTGTATTTGACTTGAGATCTTCAGATCTCAGCCTCCTCATAGTTAGGAGTCTAGAGGTGAGCCACCAGTGCCTGGCAACCGTTGCATTATCTTATTCTCCCTACTTCTTGGTTGCACCCCAAATTTATTTGATGGAAAAATGGCATCTACTCCCAGGAAGAATGCAGTGAAAATGCCACTGTCTTAAGGAGTGATAGGTTGTGGAGCTGCTGCTGAACAGGCTAAGCTGTCTTTGATTTCTATTCATTCAGTTCATTAATTCAGGACTTGTTGAAGCTTCCTAGGCTATTAGTAAGACCCAGGGAATCTGCTAACAAGAGTCTTTAATTGGATTCTGATCTCACACTGGCTCTTCTCTCAACCCAACTGCAAGATGGTAAGGTGGGCAGTGGTTGCATAAAGCTGTGGGAAATTCTTCCTGAGACTAAAGGAGCTATGGAAACTGTGAATTCTGATACAACTCACATATGTCCAAGGGTGAAAATCGTGCCAAAAAAAAAAAGAGGCTCTCAAGCTGTGTTTGGGAGGAAAGAGAAGCATATTTGTTTTGAAATGAATAGTATCAGTCATGCCAAAGCAATGAATATGTAGGAGCTACCCAAGCATTTGTTGTTCAGGCTGAACTGGGTGCAACTCCCCAGTGCTTTAGAAACACCTTATGCATTTGTCTGTCAGGTACTTCCAACACTCTTTTACAACGGTCAGTATCTCTCTTTTCCACTAAAAAGCAAGCTTTCTGAAGTGTGTGTGTGTGTGTGTGTGTGTGTGTGTGTGTGTGTGCGCACGCACACATGTGCACATGCGTGCATCCACGCCAGTACTGGGACTTGAACTCAGGACCTGGGAGTTGTCCCTTAGGCTTTTGTTGTTTTTCTCAAGGATGGTGCTCTATCTCTTGAGCCCTCGCCTCCCTTCCACCTTCTTGCTGGTTAATTGGAGATGAGAGTCTCACAGACATTTCTGCCTGGGCAGGCTTCAAACTTCCATCCTCAGATATCAGCCTCCTGAGTAGCTAGGATTCGAGGCCTGAGCCCTGCCTGCCCCCACACACCCAGTCTAATCAATCCTTAAAGGTCTCCATCTCTTTATTCTCTCACCTCAGTGATTGGATTTCAATAGGTGAGTTTAGGGGACATACTGATTCAGACCACAGCAGTTATTTTTGTCAGAAGCTTCACATGACGTTCACTGGTGAGACACTGAACAGGGTCAAGAGGTGGGCATCTGCCATGTAGCACTACAAAGAACCTCTATCTTGACCAAGTGGATGGTCTCAATGAGTCCCAGGCATTCATTCCTTCCAGCTCTCAAAACATTTGAAGCTTTCTCTTTCCTCTCATGCTCTGAGAGGCAAAAACTTCAAACTGCTAGGATTTCAACATTTTTAAATAGCACAGCTGCAAACTACTTTGGGCAAGAAGTCACCAATTTCGAATGAGGCAAAGCCAAACCAGTGAGAAGCTGACCTTAAAGTAGTAGCAACTCTCCACAGCTAGAAGAGAGGGCCAAGGCCCATGGAAGCATATTCATCTTGTCCTTACAATGCCCCTGCCAGTGGACTGGAGACTTTGACAGGTGCTGTTTTATTTGCCCTCAAAACAGCGCTCTGGCAGCATCTTGTCCAAGGTTTCAGAACACAGAAGTGTCTGATAGAACAGATACAACATGAATAACATTTGACAAGATAATGATACTTTGTGTTGCTTGGCACTACCCCCAGTAAGCTCTCCACACA